TAGAACATACATCATTTGACCCTTTCTTTGCCACAGTTTGATTCATAGGTATAAAAAGCCGAACGTCGGTCTGAGAGTATATGAATGTTAAAACTGTAAAGGGACAATTATCTGCGGTAGTATACATCATTGGTACTTCTTTTTGGCACAGGCAAATTTTTCTGGCAGTCCATTGTTATGGCTTCTATAGATTCATCTTTCATTGCCCTCTTTCTAGCTTGCTTTTTCCGTTTGTAGAACGAATCAGCCTTTAGCTTGTGCAGTTTCATGTGCTGTTCTAGCTTCTTCAAATCTTCTTTGATCTCCTTGAGGTCTTTCTTATTTTCCTCGTGTGAAATAAGGTCCCTTTTGTATTTTCTTTACCTTCTTTGTGTTTATTACATGTGCTACATGTGTCGGTCCTGGGATAACCAAACGAGATATTAAATTTTGTTGAAAACATTTTCCAAAATTTTTCATAGGACAGCAAATTTTCGGGATGCTTGTCAACGTACATGTTGTCCAACATTTTAATATTCAACTCTTCCGATAAATATACTGTACCGTGGATGGCCGGGTATCAAAATCTTTCTTCAACTTCCAACTTTTATTCACCTCGGTATAACTTTAAATGCGAAACAGGAACAAACTAACTTCAAAATTACCGTCAACTTCACAAACAATAACAATAACAGACGGAAAACTAGCTCTTCCGACTCGCGGGTTTAACCTCTTCTGCATTCAGTCGCGGCTGTCACTTTACTCCCCCCCTGTGGTTCTCCTCACCGCTTATATAGATTCCTTCAGGTAACCCAGATGGTTCTCGAAATCTCCAGAACAGGTGCGAAACTTCCCGCTTGTCCGTGTCATATTTGACAGTAAATGGGGCGCAAATGGGGCTCCCATTTACTGAAATACCATGAATTTTGATCCCTCCATTTCAAACGTGAATACCCCAGGCCATTTCCGTTACACTGCCCTCCTTCTAAACCCTGATCGCCCCGATTAGGTAATTCCTGGATCATGGTTATATCTGACCAAACGGTGAATGTGGACAACTTTAAATTTTGCCTTTTCAGCTTTAAATTTAAGGGCTCTTCTGATTGCTCATCAACAGTTCAACGCCACCGACGTCGCGCGGCTTTTCGCTGACGTTCACTTGGCGCACCACGTTGTCCATCCATCGCATCAGCGTCCTTACCAGGTTGAAGAACTTGAACAGATCGCCAGTATCGGCCAGTTTCCCTCTGCGCTGCTCGCAAACCATTTGGAAACTGGCCCACACCACTTCTTGTTCTCTATTTGTAATCTCTTTCGCTCTGTCGCCCACATAGCTGGCTTGAAACTTGGCCGATTCCTCTTGGATCAGGTCTTACATGAACATCAGGTCTTACATCTCGGCCCAGTTCGTCCGACACGCCAACCTGCTTCTCCAAAATGCTGCTGAGTACATCCTTGCAGTCGTGGAAGAACTAGTGTAATTCACGGAAAGCCGCAAGCATTTGCGATCGGGTTTCGGCTTCGGCGCGATCGGGATCAATTCCAACAAGTCCTGCCAGGCCTCGTTCAGCCCGTCCTTCCATTCGGCGATTGTTGCCGAGTCGGAATGGCCGGCAGCTATCAAGTAGTCTGCAATGTCGTTGACTCCCGCAACTCTTTCACTTCTAATGGTTTCCGTGTCGTGGGCGAACTCCATAAAGCGCTCCCATAGCAGAGTAACGTGATCGTAATCCTGGCCCAGTTCGTGAGAAGAGGCCACAACTTTGCGATCAGCTATCCACTGCTCCAAGTCGCCAACCTCTCTGTTGATGAGGAAGAGCTGCAAGGCCTCATCCAGTTTAGCGCGTCGTTCTTGCGCTAAATCCTTCAGTCCGGCATATAGCTTATCCAGTTGCGACTGTTTGACAGCGACCTGCTCGGCCAAAGGATGTCCTTCAGCCGACAGGGCCTTTACAGTTTCACCCAGTCCTCTTATGGTGTCCGCATAAGCTTCAACGGCCGCTACCAGACTTCCGTACTTCTTCATGAAGTTCCTGGCGCTGGTCTCGTCTCTGCCCCGCTCTTCCACCATGTAGAGCTCCTGCTCGCTCATCCAGCTCTCGGCCTCATTAGGATCGAACCGATACTGCTGCGCCCGCTCGTTCCTCAGCAAGTTGGCTCGTCTGTTATCGATGGCTTCCTTCAACTCCAGCCACGCCTTGTGCAGCTCGTTGATTAGCCGGCTGAACTCTGTCGCATCTTCGTGGGCCTCATCGATCAACTTCTGCCCGTTGTTGCACACGGTGATAACACGCGGCTCATGGTTCTCCACTTCTGTTTGCTGCGACTAGTTCTTCTTCTGCAACGTGTTAACCTGGGGTTGTTGCCGTATTCCATGGAAGTTGCCAGGGGCATTTTCCGGCTATCCAAGAAGCTCGTTCTCGACATCCCGTTGGAACTGGAGGGCTTCCTTCTTCTTCTCCAGCAGTCGCTGTCTTCCGATGAGGGGCTGCTTGATGAGCTGGAAGCGCTCCTCCACTTTGCTCTTTTTCACCTTGATTTCGTTGATGTCCTTGTCGGGTGCGGCCGTTTCCAAATGTTTGGTCTGCTTCTCTCTCAAATCAAACTCTTTCTTCAGCTTCCAACTTTTATTCACCTCGGTATAACTTTAAATGCGGAACAGGAACAAACTAACTTCAAAATTACCGTCAATTTCACAAACAATAACAATAACAGACGGAAAACTAGCTCTTGCGACTCGCGGGTTTAACCTCTTCTGCACTCAGTCGCGGCTGTCACTTTACTCCCCCCTGTGGTTCTCCTCGCCGCTTATATAGATTCTTTCAGATAATCCAGATGGTTCTCAAAATTTCCAGAACAGGTGCGAAACTTCCCGCTTAGATCAATATAACTATAATAATATCACTCGGCTTCCGTTTTAGCTTGCGATGGTGTGTCTCCTTTGCAAATAAATTTGACATGTCCATTCGCAAGACTGGGTGTGCTTCTTGTTCAAACGACCACCCTGTATAGCAGGCAAAAATGTATAATTTTTCCAGAAAAAATGTAATGTCCTATTTCTAAATTTACATTTTTTTTCTATTTTTAAGATAAATTGTTGATATTATTTACTACTACAAACTACCTTCGTTATCACGAAGAAAGAACTAGCACGTAGTTAGCTGAAGTTGCTTAGCTTACTAGAAGTAAGTTGTCGCAACTAAGATTAAGTTAATTTGAACTGAACTTTTTGATCATAGTGATATATTACGGTTTCACTATAAGTGTTCTGCATAAATACCAAACCAAAGTGCAGTTTTTAACATAAGTGCACTGTTAAACTAAATAACATTTACTTTTCTAAGCTCAACAAAGAGAGTAAAATGACGTTGCGTTTGACCAAAATAGCTCGAAGTTCCATGTATTTATTCTTTTGCACCATTCAAGCGTTAAATTTGTAGCTGGCCACTAGAAGACATTGCGAAAATCAAAGTGACGTAAGAATACGCTGCTCTCAAAGACTGAAAAAAAACTTTAAGTTTATACAATGTAAAATACGTTCGAATAGTTATGCATCATAAAGTCACACTTTGGAAGCATATAAACAGCTGCCGAGTATATCAGCAACACTTTTAAAGTGGCTTATTTCTTGTTTTAAATGGATATTTCCATTTCGCCATTTTTTTATAGAATTATTAATTGGACATTTTTTAAAGTGTAAAGTTGTTGTTTACAAATGTTTCCACCTTTTCAATGTATATACCTCTAGGCATTACCACCATGCAGTTTCTTTTATCTGCCTTCGTGATATGCAAATTATTATCATAACCTATCACTTCATTTCACTCAGGGTCCTCTGGTGTTTTTCAGCTAAATTTCTTCCCCGAGATTGACCTCTATTGGGTCTGATGAAGTCATTCAGAATATTCATGGGTATCGAACGTACTAACAATACTAATAATATCCTGGTCTGTAGTGATTTTGTTTATAAGAACGTCGAGGTCAATAGGAAACATTTCCGAAGTGCTCAAATTGACTTTTGGGGGTATGGAGAAGTTGAGGCCGCTGGAAATAGGACCCAACTCTCCACTCGAAAAGGAGACGTTTGATAATTTTTTATCACGCTCATGAAAAGAAAAAAAAGTTGCTAGGGTCACAGAAGGTCCAGAGGAGGAGCGAGCAGCAGAAGAATAAAAAATGGGTCTTTTCGTATTTCCGTCAAATGGAACTCCAGTAAGATTAGACAACTTCTCGCAGAACTTTCGAAATTTTGCAAGCTTGATGAATTGGATTGAGTCCCAAGAGTTGTTAAGGAAACGTTGCATTGCGGCTAACTCGGTTTATCTCCTTGCAAATGGCTGTGTCAAAATGAAGGAAAATAAATTCAGATAATTAATTCGGTAAATCACTTGTAGCGCAGAAGATAACAAAACGTGGAACCTACTTCGAAAAGAGTCCGACAAGTGCGGAAGAAAAGTTTACATCGTATAACTTAACAGCGAAAACGAACCAGCAACCGTGCAAATTTGGCACGATCTGATGGCTTTAAAAATATTGAAGGATTTTTCATCAGAAGTAAACTTCTGAGTTTATTCATGAAAGAGGGAACTGTCGACTGGCAAAAGAACCAGATTATCGCGAACGCATTCGGCAAGACAAGTATCAGCTGCATTCTGCTAAGATTTTAAGTTTTCGCTAGTAGATTAATGCTACAATTATATGGCGACTTGTGCCAACTATTCTTTTAAAATAATACGTAGGATCGTTTTTGCTATGATCAGCATGATTTCAGTAAAAAAGAAGCCACTGAAGAAACAGACATTCAGTCAATAAGATTTCACGATAAGTTTACGTTAAGTCAGTCATAAGAGATTTATTTGACTGATGACTGAAGAAGATTGTCAATATAAAGCGGTACAATACATGTTAGTCATTACACGTTTTTAATAGATGCAGTTTCGATCGTAAGTGGTTGTGATTAATTAAAAATAAAGTTTTCATCAAATCAGAAGTGTTAAAATAATCAATAAAATTATACTTACATTAAGAGCAGTGTGTATGGTAAGCGGATAAAACGGTCCAATCATGATACGTAATGGTTTCCTCGAGCGCATCATAATAATAATAATAATCTTCTTTACTTTCTGGGTTTGTTCATACCAACGGCTCTCAAATAGTGCGTCCGATATTGACAAGCTCTAAAAAATACAAATTTTACTTTTTAAAACACAAACTGGTGTAAGGCTTTCAAATGCAAAACATATACTGATTTGTACATTGTTAGAGCCATAAAGATTCACCATTGTCAAAAATCAGCCCTCCACCTCTGTCGTCAAATATTTTTTAAAGGTCCCGTTTGTGGGTCAGTAGACCGAGAAAGCGGGTGGTGAAAAGGATAATAAACAGATGCGAACAGGGTGTCACAGTGTTCAGGCCTGCCCTTTTGTAGGAAGGCGTAAATAGAGCTATCATGCGGTGTGACGTTTGACGTTGATATTGACTGTTGTGACTGGGCGACAGATGACAGTTGGCTGACTGTTTGAAGAGTTGAAAGAAGACAGTTGAAGCAAGCCCAACTCTTATGCTCATCATGCGTCTCTGTTGTCTCCGAGCGATCTTCACTGTTTTTTGGTCGAATTGCTCTATTGAAATCTTTCTTACTGTATCCATTCCAACCAAAGGCCCTTTCCAGGTGTTTTAATTCTCCCTCTAACTCGTCTGGTTCGCAGATTCTTCGGGCTCTTTCGGTGAGAGTTTTTATGACTCCTCTCTTTTGACTGGGGTGATGGTTTGAACCACTGTGCAGGTACCGGTCGGTATGTGTCGGTTTCCTGTACACTGTGTGGGCCAGCTTTCCGTTGGCTTTTCTGGTCACCAAGACATCCAAAAAAGGCAGCCGCCCATCCTTCTCCACTTCCATAGTAAATTGAATTTTAGGGTTTGTTGAGTTGAGGTGCCTCAACTTACCTTTTTTTAAATGGCATGCCGTACTTTTTATTGCATATTGAGTGATTTTCAAATGTTTTTGCAGCTAATTTGAAATTTAGATCAAAATATTCTATACAAAAGTTGTAGATATTGACATTTAGTTTATTTTAAGATAATAACAATTGCGCTGGTGTCTCAAAGTTCAATTTGGTGTCTCAAATTGAAGTGTCTGACCAAACTCAGAAGTTTTACAAATAGAATGCCCTAGTATTTAAATGGTTATTAACTCAAAAACGGTTTAAGATCAATACAGAAAATGAGTATCCAAGTAGACTGGAATTTTGCGTATAGTTCGGATATAAAATAAAACCTGCGCGATTCCATTTAAAAACAGGTAAGGTTGTACCGCCACTTGAGTTTGAAACACCATGTATCAATTTGTATTATCTTACAATAAACTAGGCGTTAATATCTAAACCTTTTGTATTTAATATTTTTCTCTAAATTTAGAATTAGATGTAGAAACGGGCTAGCCAAAATTCAATGAGTATTGGCTATTAACTCAAAACCAGTTGAGAATCAGTATAGAACGTTTATATCGAATAGGCCTAGAATTTCACAAATATCTAAAAAATCCAATAAAAAATACAGCATTCCATTTTAAAAAAAGGTCAGTTTATACCGCCACTTGAGTTTGAGACACTCTGTATCAATTGGTATTATCACATTTAGGAATGTTTTCCAGGCTTTGAAGCCGTGGTCTATGGGAATTTCTTCCTGACGTTTCGTCCGCAACTGCGGTGGACATTTTCAAAGGCGATGAGGCAGTGGGCGAAGTGATCTCCCGTGCTTTCAGTCCATCAGCCCGGAAAACATTCCTAAATGTGATTTAACCGGCCGTGAAAGCCTTCATAGTTGGTATTATGTTACAATAAGCTAGTCGTTGATATCTATTTAATATTTGTCTCTAAATTTCGAATTAGATGCTAAAACGGGCTGGCCAAAGTTGAGTCAAGAACCCTCTACATTAAGGTGCAGTGAAAATGTATGGTTTTTACACTTTTTCAAATTTCCGTTGTGGCATAGTGCTTACAAACTGCTTTATTATGCCCCTAAGGCATGTGCCATAATTGGTTCTGTACATTTAAGTTTTGAGGTGCCCCGAAGGTCTCGGACTTTCTCAGAAATTTTGAATTTCTTGCGCATTTCGTATTTTATTTAATTTAATTAAATATTAAGAAAATTAAGATATACTAGTCGTTACATCATAACATGAACCTCAAAATTACAGTCTATAAATTTTCATTGCCTTTACTTAAAGCTAAGAGTTGCCCCAAAGGCCCTAAACTTCAAGATTTTTAGCAAGAAAATAGTGAAAGAAAGTTGTTGAGCTCTTGTAGGCTTTCATTAGTTAATATTATAAAATGTTTGTTTACACAATTTAAAAAAATTATTAGATGCAATTACGTAATATAATTTCTCTTTGTTTCAAACAAAGGCATGTTTTGGCGGGATAAAAGCATGCCCTGTATAAAACTAATGCTTTGCTGCTAATCCTGAATGACAAGTTACATGGCCAAAATAATTATCGCCTGGTTCCGATACGAGAAGTCGTGTATAGTGTTCTTCAAATTGTATTTTTAGGTAGTTTTTAGACCCTCTCTATTCCACTGTCATTGTTTTGTCCCTCCTGCCATCGAAATACGGACCAAAGATGGGCTCTATTACTTTATCTTGTTTTAACTAAGATCGCTTTTTAAATATTTCGCGCCGAACCTTAGAACGATCTACTACTACAAGCCTGTTATCATCTGACGTGATAATTCCAACATCGTGTAGCACGGCAGACGCTATAATTGCAGCAGACCTATCAGACACTCCCGTACGCACGCAGGCAAGAGCAAGAGAAGGAAGACTAATTCGCATTTGTTTAGCTGGTCGTTTATGGATATTATCTTGCAGTGGCCGCGGATTTTCTGGTGGACATGAGCTGCATACTTGAACTTGTATCTCTATTGACTGAATAATGAATGTTGATCGTTGATGAATATTGATCTGATACATCGGTCATCTCATTTTCAACTGATGTAAGCCCATAGAAACAAGAAGGTTTCGGAAAATCCACGTCTCGCTGAGCGAGGGATAATTCTCTCTTTTTTCTCTCTATTCTATTATTTTTATTTTTGGGTGCAACTCAATCAATGCAACCAATCTTTGTTTCTGTTTTTTGATCCATTAGAAAATCTATTTCACTTTTTGAAATTCGCCGATTTTTTTCACAGGTACAGTTACCTAGATTACACTTGCAACTACAAACATCAAACAATCGTTTTGAACTTTCTTGGAATATATTAATTTTTTCTTTATAATTTTCGTCCGCTTGGCGTTCTTTATATGATTTCATTAAATTTCTGTGTTTATTGTGATAGGCCCTAATCATTTGTAGAATCCTTTCATGAATAACTGTTGGGATAGTCGCTTTCTCCCAAATATCACGAATTCTGACAGCAACTATTTCTGATATTTGTGTTACAGTAGGTTCTTTCGATGATATTTCCGGTTTTAATTCATGTTCATGTAGTGGCCAAAATACTACTGAGAATAAAAATATCTCTCCTTGCTTGTAGCAGACAGAAGTTGAACACTATTCACGAAATTGTTACACAATTAAGTCGATGCGGTAAATTCTGGAGAAACGTACGTGACCTCTCCTCGCAGTTGTTGGTTTGTGACTGAGTGACTGATTGGGGGATACGAGAGGGCGGTTAGTGGCGGTGGCTGTGGAAGAAAGTTGCTTTCCGGACAAGTATTTCAAGACCATAGCAGATAAGTTCTGCAGTGCAGCCACTTTAGGCCAACTGTAGTGAAAATCAGAAATTTTTTTTCTTATTACAATTTTTATCGCGGTGGGGTTACCTCAAGACTTGAAGCTAAACAAAAAATATTTTAACCAGTTGTTATTGACCCCTCTCCCCATTTTTCCCCAACTATTCCGAACCGTTTATAGAAAATTAATATTTCCACTCCACCCTACTGTACATGATGTTAAGGCGAGAACTTGTTCGCAGCAATTACGTTTGCTGCGAAAACTTGCCTGAAATGCTGGTATTATGTCGTCTGTGGTTTTCTATATACGATTATATATTAATAGCTCTCAGAGTTTGAAGCATATGTTGAGCAATGCAATAGGGCTGTACGTCGTCGGGATGCGTCTGGAGGTGTTAAATATTTGTCAGTTGTGCAAAAAATAATTAAAAATCACTTGTCGAGGTACCAGTAGTACAGGTGCTAGTTGTCCACTATCAATGTTATTGTCTCTGGTAGCGATTATCCGTAAATAAAGTTTCGGTAATAAATGCCCTGTGGTTGTTATAATTTTAAAATCTTATAATTATCGGACAAAGAACAAACTCTTCATGTAGTTGTTATAATCATCCAACAACACAGTCCACTTTGTGTGCCAAATAAAGGCATTCCCAAACAGGAGGTTGACCTGACTTGAGTATTACCAGGATATGTGCCTTTTTGAAATATAATGGTAAATATCCAGTTCGAAGGAGGTCGCTGAAAAAGTCGCTCTACCATAGTTTGCCTTGTTTTTCTAGATATCTTATGAATTATGGTTCGATTTCGTCCGGACCAGCGGCTCTTCGGAACTATATATTCTCAATCGCCACGTTTATTTGATTTTCACTAAATGGACTAGAATAGGGTGTGGGTTGATTATTTTCTTTTATTTGCTGCAACTTTATTCTTGTTTCTCTTTAATGCTCTCAGTGAGGACGTTCTGACCTTGATGTTTTATGTACTGTGCGATTTGCGATGCTGTTATTTTAGGTTTTTGAATGATCCAGGAGGATGCCGTTTCTATATTCCGAAGTGGTGTGCAGGATTTGCAAGTTAAATGGGTAAAGTCCAGTTCTGATGTCATTGTTGCCCATTTTCATTTTCACCTTGTAACGTTTCAATTTGGTCACTGTAGCTTACCTATATTCCTCTATTTCAACCTGCTATTTTCATCGTTGATTCTCCGAACAGTTTGTTTCTTTAACCCATTTATTTAACGTCGAACGGCTGGATTGTCGATTTTCGTTGTTGTTGTGTACGATTGAATTTTGGCTGTGTTTACGAATGAATTTTCCGGTGAGGGATCGGTCAATGTCGCCAATCGAAGACTCCTTTGTGGGAGGTTTGGTAGAATAGAATATCGATAATACAGTATTAGTTACAAACTGTCCTGTTTTGGGTTGTTGGGATGGTGACGCCTCCACGGTAGAATGCTGGGGAGGGGAAGGTTATTTCGAATGAGGTTTTCCGGTTCTCGTTTCTTTCCGGATCCACTGGTCGTTGCAGTGACAGCCTTGTTGCCTCTGCTTTACCTCTGTGTGCCCTGAAAGCGGCCATTTTTGCAGAGAACACGCTGAACGTTGAATATTAGTCATACTTAATCCCTTGTGTAGCTCATTATTATCGCATGGCAAATTGACTGCACGTGGCGAATCGGCTTGCCATTTGAGAGCTTTATGCTTATTTGGGCGTCGCCTCCTTCCGTTTTTGATCGCGAACTACCCTCTTGAGAGCGAAGCAATCTCTCTGTTTATTTGGTCGCGTGGGAATCGTCCATAGGACTAATTACGTTGTATTGATTAGGGCTAGGAATTTGAAAAAATCTGAAATTCCGAATTCGAATATTCGAATATTCGTTAGAAATTCTAGTGTTCGTTTTCCGTTCACCGGTTTCCAAGAAGAAAAATCGTTATCATTTTTGGCAACTAGCCGCAACGGATAAAAAAGTGCCTTTGTCGGCACATTAATTGTAACACCGCGCAAAAGTTGATGACGCGAATCACCAGAACACAGAGACGTAATTTTAGATTAATTTGCAGGAGAGTAAATATGATTATTTTCATTTGCATGTAAATGTATGGGTATTTGTTTAAATGCTTGTAGAATATGAATAATTCATTTTACAAAAGTATACAAAGTGCATATAAAGATATTTGCACCTTGTGAGTTTGATAATGTTAGTGTATTCGAGTATTCGAATATTCGAATATTCGAATATTCGGATACTCGAATTACACGAGTTTGATTCCGAGCCCTAGTATTAATTAGAGTCCAAGTAGACGGTCCAAGTAGAGTCCACGTACTGGTTAGAGTACAGGTCCAGGATCAAGACCTAAGACCCAGGGAAAGCTGTAGTACTCAGGCTGATTCTCCTCAGCACGTGTACCGAAGCGCCTCCCTTGCGTGCGGTTTCTTCGTTACTGAGATTGGACGTCCAGTTGGCAAGTACAACCATCTTGAAATACACGTATGTTTTTGCAATATTTTCTGGTGCCGCATTACTGAACAGTATTGCGTTTGTACTTTCGCAACAAGGGGTCACCAATATGCATTTTGATCTTAAGTCATCAATGTTAAATTCGGTCAATTTATTGGGCAGTTGTGACACGAATATATAGCTACCGGGAATTTTCTAGTTTATTCTAAAACTGGTGGCGCGAAATCATCACCGGGCATTATCTGCTACCACAGATTGTTGACATACCTATTATTACTAAAGTTTTTTTTATTGTCTATTAAGATCCTTGCCCGAACCCACAAATATTTTTTTCGTTTGTTCATTCCACTTCTGCTCGTCCATGGGGTGGGGGGTCATGGAGGTCATAACCCCCCCCCCCCTTGTGCTAGGTTTTTAACGACTAACGAGAGTTTTTCTAATTTCATGGACAACAAAATACTGAATTTCTACTACTTGACCCTCCCCTGACTCAAAAGCTGGATCCGCTCCTGACCATATACAACACAAATGATGTGAGCAAAATTAAAGTAAAGAGTTACTCGTTAAATGTAGTTGATAATTTTGCCGCCAGTGAGCGTTTTGACTTTTCAATTCGCGAATAGAATCTACAGGGTGCTCCTGAAATGACTGCGTAACTTTTAACCACAAATTCCTTAGGGCCTTTTCACACGGACCACTCTGCAGAGCTTTTCACTGGCGCTGCGTTTTGATGGGAGTCTGACTTATATGGAGCTGCTCACACGAGCGCGACCACTGATTTAGCAGCGCTACGGTGGCGCCGCCGATAAGCTGGCGCCAAAAAGAAGCGCCACTGATAGGAATACATTGGTTTAAAGAAGAAGAAAAGAAGCTGGTGTTCACACAAGCCACTTCACTGTATCTACAACCTAAACGCATGCTAATTTATGCTTCGATCATAATGTCAGTTTTAAAATGAACTTTAATAGTGAACAAGGTTTCCTCCATTTATTAGTGATCCATCAACAACACTACACATCTCTTTTCATTATATCTAATAAGTCGTCTTAATAAAACGCTGCTTTTAAAAAGGACATTTTCTTTTGAACATCTATAATTAAATTCAGCATTTTCTTAAATGTTTCGTTTTTTATTTTCTGTCACGTAAATTGAAGTTGGCATAAAGTGTGTTTGCCTTGCTGTCATATCACATCACGTGTTCAGAAATGTAAAGCAGGTATGTATTTCTTGCTTAGTATTTTGATATATAAGTGTTAAATAGGTTATATATTGAATACATCTTAATTAAAGTGAATTGCGCAAGTTGGCGTTCTTTTAGATTTTAAATGCTTCAAGTTCACATGACATCGCTGCCTGTTTGCAATAGCATACATTAAAATGTAAAACTGACTTCTTTCTGCTCATGCTCCATCCAAATGAGAGACGATAGATTAAACATTTTTAGAAGGATCAAAATTGAAGTACAATTTGGAATCTGAAAGGTATATAATATAGTGGTTCTAGAGCTAATGCAACTGTTTATCTTCTGAGTTGCTATTTATTTTGCAAGACGAAATTTTAATGCTCTCTGTGCTAGCAAACTGATTCAACTGTGTCGAGTAGAAGTGGCCATATCATAAATTGTCACCCAGATGCAAAGCAAGAAATAAACAACCATTCCATGTTGTTCCATTGAAATTGCAATCAGCATATTAATACTGTTCATGTCTTATTTACTAAATAAATCGCTGTGGGGGCCTTGTCTGTATGTAACGTATGTCCTATGAATGTAACAGAACTTCATTTTCTTTTTCATTTTGTTGGTTTGGCTTTCTCATTATTTCGGATTTGTTTCAACATGTAGAGTGCGTGATGCATGTCCTATTTGATGAACCTTTTTAATTAGGAGTTGTTTATGATTTTTCTATCTGTTATTAAGTTCGATTTTTTAACAGTTACCTAACATAAAGTTGAGTTTTCTGGTTTATAGAAGTTTATACTATGCACTCAAAGTGAAATTTTAACACGCATTTTCCAGCATAATTTGTTTAATAAAAATTGTAGGTAATTGTAATTGTTGTATAAAAATAGTATAATGAAAACAATAGGTATGCTTTTATACTGAGAGCCATCTATTTAATCATTAAATTACGAATTACCTGAACAGTAAATAACCAAAACTTAAAAAAAATAACAAAACTAATACGCAGTGGTTAAAAAGAAATGCAGGTGCAGATACACAAAAAGGAAGAAAAAACGTTGAAACATGCGCAGAAAGAGATCAGTTTTGCATTTTAATGTATGCTGTTTGCAATGCAGAGCCTTGAGGAGCGCAATGCAGTAGCAAATCTGTATCAAACTGATCACCAGACTGTCAAGGCTGACTAAACAAGTTCAATTCCTTGTTCCACTTTAATTTAGGTCGTTTTTGGATAATTTGTTCCCTACTCTTTTATCCAATTTGACATGCGTTTAATGTGGTTTGTTCGGTTCTCTTGAGGACGTTTGCTTGTGTTTTGAAAAGCGCTTGGCCATAATATCCAAGGGTGATTTTATAAACCCTTCGATCGCATACTAGCTTTATTACAAGCGGTTAAAACGAAAAACATTAGTTTTGTATGAATTTTGTCTAATGTAAACACACGGACTTCCTCCCCTTAATTAACAGTAATCTTAATTGGTTTATTAGATGATGGACGATTAATTTCAATTCAATTGAAATTGAACACTCCGTTTGGAAGTTACAACGGATTGCATGCGCATGGCGTACTTGGTTTGTTTGTATTTTTAAGTGTTCTTTGCTGCAGAATTAAGATAGCTAAGGAAGCTGTTTTTAAATTTAATGTTACTGAAAAAAATGTTTTTCGGTGAGTAATTTTCGGATCGTATCAGTTTTAAGATAATTGTCGATTTCCTTGTTACGGGCGTAACAAGGAGTACAAGATGTCTCCAAAATTTCTATTCAAAATTTTACCACAGATTCCAGGTGTGAAAACATTATGATTTATTAACCTAGTTTGTCCAATACAAAAGTGTTCAAAATCCATGGCGACAAAATCATGATTATAAAATAAAAAATAATTATTATTTTGCTTGTAATGCTACTATGTAAACGAAATCTCACATCGGACGGTTTTAGAGGCCAAAAAATTGGTGTACAAAAACTATAACCTAACATTATTAGTTTAAATGAAAACCCCTAATTTCGTTAGCATGGTTGGATTGGCGTTCTAATTCCGAGTTTGGGCAACGTCAGTTTTGTTAATTTATCTCTTACAGTTTTTGAAATATGTCAATTGTTTAAGATAAAAATCCCATTACAGGTGTTTACGGAACAACAATATGTTGCTGCATTCGGGTTAGAGAGTGAGCAGAATTCAAAATTGCAAAGTTTAATAAGCAAATAAACTACACACACGTGATTAAATAAAACGTTCCACTTACTTCCACTTCAATCTCATTTGAAATCCATGATAGGACAAATATTTGGGACAACACAGTGCAACTCACTGCAATGTATAATGTCGATGCTGCTAAAGATGTGGGCTGAAAATTTATTATTAATAAAATTAATGACAGTTAAATCTAAATCAAAATCAATTCCTGGACTTCAGTCATTTATTGTCTCTAATTATCAATGAAAATACGTTTCGGTGTTTTCCACCATCACCAGTTTTTCTAAAATAACAGATAGTAAAAAAAAAATCTTTTTTTTTATGATGCCCATTTTCATCTGGAACGTTGCGATTTTGGCGATTACCGAAGCCATTTGGTAATATTTGGTGTGCATTGTGCGATGGAAGCATCATCAGACCATTTTTCTTCAAAAATGCAGTTGGTCAAGCATTAACCGTGAGAGGTGTCCGTTATCGTGAAACGTTAACTAAATTTTTGGTGCCAAATTGGAAAAATACGGATCTCAACAGCCTGTGGTTTCAACAGGTTGGTGCAACATGCCATACAACCAGAGAAACTGTTGAATTACTGCACAAGTCATTTCCTGGTCGTGTTGTTTCTCGATTTGGATATCGGCATTGGCCGAGCAAATCATGCGATTTAACGCTTTAGGACTTCTTTCTTGGGAGTTTTTTTCAAGTCAGAAGTTTATGTGAACAAACCAACAACGAGTGAAGCCTTAAAAGATTAATTTCAACGCTGTGTTTCTGAAATACCGCAAAATTTATGCCATCAAAGCCAAGGCGGTCATGTGTCCGACGTCTTATTCATTAACAAACTTATGCCACAAATAAATATATGTTTATTGGAACATATTTTATTTTTACGTTTTCGGTGAGATGGGGTCGTGATGACCAACATTTTATGACCGTCGGCTAGACGAATACGACGTCTTTAAGCCGCATGCATAAACTGCAGTTATTATCTGTTGATCAGCATGAGTCTCGGCCTTTCGACTTTCCAAAATTGATATATGTTGAAACTTCTGAGATTGTGCCTTCACAGCATATACAGTGTGATTCAAATTTGTCTGGATTCTTTTAAAGGAGCTTGCTACGAGAGAGCTTGATACGAGAAAAAGCTAAAGGGCTTGATACTAGAAAAATATAGAACAATTTTTTTCGAAAATTTCTAGAAGATATTTACAGTTAAAAATCGCGTTTCAACTGTGTTACTAAGGCATATTTTGAAATGGTTCCATGTTTGATTGGTAGCCCATTGGAATACTAAAATATCCAAAACTAACAACAGGTTGCATCGACAAAGGGCTAGAGACAATGCACGACTGGATCCAGGAACTGAGGCAGATAGTGGACGACCAAGAGATGTTCGGGTTCCAGGCCTATCAGTAGAATTCGGAGCCTTGAACAACAACTAGCACTTTCCCAGGCGACTGGGCACAGGATAATTATAGAGGAAAGGCTATATTTCTACCACATATGTTAGATACACAGGAGACAAGGAGACATTAAATATCTGGATTACCGAACAACGGTACAAATTGTTCACGAGTTGATTAACCGAATACTTCAAGCTGCTTGAGGAGAATGCACAATAAGGTGATTACACCTGACAACCCGAACATCTCTTGATCGTCCACTATCTGCTTCAATTCCTGAAGCCAATCGTCCAGTGACTTTAGCCCTTTGTTGGCGTAAGTTCTTACAGCTTCTGTTGTGTTACTATTATTGATGTACATTTTGTGAAAGAAGCTTCCAACTGAGGCACAATTTGACAAATATTTGTTATTCTTCACACAAGCTATCTAACTGTATCTATATGATACTTTTTTGATATAAAAAATTTGAAGTTTTATTTTTTTTTATTTTTTGTTTGTTTTTGAATGTTTAAGTATTCCAATAGGCTACCAATCAAACATGGAATCATTCAAAAATATGTCTTAGTAACAAATTCAAAATTCGAATTCCAACTGCTATTTTTTTCTAGAAGTTTTCAACAAATGGTTTTAAATATTTTTCTCGTACTCTCCAAGTCAGCCCTTAACCTATAACCTCTTAAATGAAATGACGCCAATCTTGAGTCACACTGTATAATTTCGAGAAGATATAATTTATAAATATTTGGTTAGTTAAAAAATAATGGGTTTGTATGTAACAATACAAATAAAAATCTGAAATAGAAAAGTTGTAGATGTGAAAGTCCAGTTTGGACAAGACTACAGTCTATCAAAACACACCAAAGGCTTCAGTCGCAGATTAGACGAGTTCCATTTTGATCCTGCGTATAATTTCATATTTTAATACATAAATATTGTATGTATGCTTTTTTTTCTTTACAGGAAAGGCTACCGACTATTACGGGTAACGTATATAATATAGCTACAGAATTAAACATAAAACTTACCACGAATATAAGTTGAAAAAGTACAGATGCTATTATGATCGAAATGACGGTGCACTCGACGAATATTAGGTATTTCATGAGCACGTTCAGCTCTCCAACAAAACTAAAATATATAAAAAGTATATCAAAATATTCTGAAATCAATATAATTATGTTATCAAGCTCAGAACCTTAAGAACTGTTTGAGAAAAGGTTTGCAATTTACTTTCATAGATGTTAAATGACATAGTTCAAAGTGAAGCTTGTGAGTTTTGCAAGAACGAGTGGTTTGCAACTTCAGATGTTGTTTGCTTGAGAGCTTGTACAGAGACTTGTGTACTGATGCGGTTCATCGGGCGTAGTCCGTATTTATGCACCACCGGTTGTGAAGACGTGGCTTGTGATGACGTGCCCTGTATCACCTGTATCGGGGGATACTGTTATTTTTCGTTATGTTCCGGTGTAGTGGATTCTTCTTTCTGTCCTGTGCTGTTGCCTTTCATTGCTGGTTTCCTTCTTGTTAAAGGTGTCGCTGTTTATGGATTGCGATGGCTTTTGTATTAGTCGGGGAGATGGTGGAGCATGTTTTTGTGGCTATAACTTGAGTTTTTGTAAATCTGATGCTGTGCGTTCCCTCGCTGAAGGCATGTTCCGCTAACTGCCAACTTTTCCGCATGTCCCAATCAGCAATTTCGTCGATCCTGGTCTTAACCGATTGTGGTTAGCGTCCATGTAGGAACGTGGTTCCTACATAGACGCTTCCAAAGGAGCACGGTATTCGGTAGAAACCTACCTGCAGTCGCGAGGGAAGAACTTCTGGTTTTGATCAACTTCCATGATAAATTGTAATTCATACTTATGCTAAAACATATCACTGGTTTCAAGCCAAATCCCATCAAACAATCTTTAGCGTGGCCTCGTTATAAAAAATGCAATACAATTAAGTATCTAATATCCTTCACCCCAGACGGTATAATTACTTTTATTTCACTTGATTTTGGTGGACGTACATCTGATACGGTTATTTTATACGGCTGACTAATTTTTACAGATTAGGGGCGGAAGAAAAAGGAGTTTTTGGCTTTGGGAAGGCTTTTTCCTTCTTGATTATGTCCTGACTTTGTCGTGCGTATGATCAGCTCCGGAATATCCATGTTAGGGCACTTAACAGGGCAACTTGTTAAGGGCAGGTAATGGAAAACTTAGCGCCTTAACCAACATTTCTCTCACCCAATCCGTATTCTCCAACGTATACCGTTTCATTCGGATTTCTTTTTTGAACTTTAGCGTTAAAGTCACTTATGACGACTATGAAGTGTGCTCTCTTCGTTGTTTTGCCGTTTTCACGTATTCGTATAACTGATCCACATCTACATCGTCCGCTGCGCTGGTTTGGGCATAGATGTTGATTGTTTGCATGTGTTACCCATGGCTCAGCTTTAATTTGATACGTGTGTAAGACTTGATTTGATATGGCACAGAACTTGGTGAATTTGATATTAGTATTTTTGTTGATCAGTAATCCGACTCCATCGAGATGATGCAATGAAAAATTTTTTGTTTTTTTGTTTTATCGAATCCTTGCCCCGCCCAAAATCCATGGGTCTGACTTATAAATCAGTGTGTGATCTGTCCCTGGTTCCCTCAGCTCCTCCTAGGGCTGCTCACCTGGGCTAGTGTTGTTTTGTAATTCGAAATTTTATTTCGAAGGTTTTGGCACTTTGACGGCCACGCCTGTTGGCGAGTGTATATTCAAGCGGCCCATTCTGATTGCAGACGCTGCTTGAAGTCAACCATTCTGGGTCAGATGCTACTGTGCAAGTTTTGGTCCGCCCCGAGTATTTGATTCCTCTATTCGCCACCTGGGCAGGCGCCCGATGGGCACTAGTAATCCCGCATAGAAAAAATAGATTTTTATAAATGCGAAACTCCCGAAATAATTATAATATACATATGTGTTATAATTATTTTTTATTCTAGTGTTGTCTGGTGCTGTTACAGAAAAAATAGTAAAATTAATTAATTGTTATTAAAAACTAAGCAATTTGCAAAAAACTATATCAGAAATACGACAGCAATGTTTTTCAAGGTAATCCGCCTAATTAACATTGCGCAAATACCTGTTGCTTCGTAATTATTTAAAACTTCGGTAACCATGGAATTATACAGTGACAATAAGATAGACAAGGGTGAACGGGAAATTCTACAAGATTTGTTGACTGCGGAACGTACTTTCGAAATGTCAACCTGTTCTCATAACCTCGAATTTTGTGGGGTTTGGTGTTTACATAAATAATCCATACAACACCAAACATTTGAATGGTTAACTCCAAACAAGCTAGTGCCTGTGTATTCTCCTTATTATCCACTCTTATCAAGCAGCTTCTCGTATTCAGTTAATTAAATCCTGCTCCATTTCTACATGTGTGTGCTCCTTGTACTGTTTGTGTCGTACAAACGTGGTAGAAATGTAGCCCTTTCTCAGTATTTATTTGGTGCTTGGGAAAGTGTCAGTTTTTGTGCACTGAGTACCCCTGGAAGGCCCTGATGCGATTATGTCCAATACTTGTTTCTCTGTGCCTGAAACCCGAACATCGATTGTCGTCCACTATCTTCATGAAACCACTCTCCTTGCCCTTTGTTGGCGTGAGTTCTTTCAGCTTCTGCTCTGTTACTGTAGCATTTACCCTGAATTCAAAGTAATTCAAGGAAATTCAAAGTAAGTCACAGTTTGACAAATTATTGTTATCATTGACAACGTCTGTCCACCTGTAACTATCTGTTAATGACAAAAAACATCATTACCGCTGTGATTTTTCATCAAAACCAGGAAGTGATCACTCCCACACTCTGCACCCCTACATGCTTGAACATATTTTGGTTTTATTTCTGTCTATTGTTTAATTTTGACATAATTCATTATAGATTTAAGTTGTCGTGCTGTTTGTGTCCAACTGTATTTATGGATGTATCGTTGCTGGAAAAATCAATTTAATAATTAAACCATGCCGTTTACAAACAGGGTTAGTTTTTGAAAGAGTTACAAGGCTATATCTCAAAAACGGTTTCCGATATATTAATAAAATTTTGGGAAAATAAGAAATAGGGGGACGTATTATAAACATACGTTTTATTATTCTACTCAATTGCCCTCTGCGGAAGTAAAGGCAACATTAAAATTTTAAACGGAATGATATATTTTTTATTGTGAAATTGAAATCAGCGTAAGAAACTATGTATGTGTAGAAATTTAAATGTCATTTGATCACTTAGTTCCATAATTATGACGTGCAACATAAATTAAAAATAATGAATTTATTAAATTATGACCCGACTAATAGTAATCAAATATGTTTCAGGAGATGTTCAAAATGCCTGCCTTCAACTTCCAAACACTTTAAAAGTCTAATTTTTAAAGAATTTAGAAAGTTTTCGCAATTTGAAAAAAAAACCGACTTTAATAAAATTTCAATGACTGAAATTCAATAAAATTTTAATTATCAATAATTGTGTAACCAGATGACTAAACCATTCAAAAATTTGTACACATACGTAGTTTTTCATGTAGAATCAAATTTCAGGATCAAAAATATATCATTCCATTTAATATTTCAAAGTTACGTTTACCTCTCAAAGAGAGCGCTTGAGTTGAAAGGTAGAAACTATGTTAAAACATGTCCCCCTACCTATCTATTTAATTTCCAAAATTTTTATAAATATGTTGCGATCTGTTTCTGAGATATAGCCATGTTACACTTTAAAAAACTCAACCTGTATATCTGTTACGCGAGATCCGTTGTCATTGGTGATGTTTTCTCCAAATCTTTTTTCCAAACCCTTGCGTTGAGAACACCGATGAGCATGATTTCTTTTCAGTGACTAATTGAGGTAACGATATTCGTGAGTTGTGTTTGGAATTTATCAGCCTGATCAGTTTGAAGGCGGCGTCGTCTGTCGGGGCATAAGCTGCAATGACCACAAACACACGGCTTCATATTTCTAGTTCTATTTTCAAAATTCGGTTGTTTATTTCTTCCCAATTTTTTATATTATTTATAATTTCTATGTATGGCTATTGACCTCCTACCCTGGCTCTTTTGCACTTTTCTACCCTACCATAGAAGTGTAAGTAGTTCCCTATTTCCTTTGCTTTTGTTTAGCGCCACAATGTCCACCTTATGTTTGGAGAGGTTGTAAAATATTTTACTTGCTTTTGTACCAAAACCCTGAACAATCAAGGCTCCAATATTCAATATCCTTTCCGTAAGCCCATCAGTTTCCAATTTTTTCCGTCCTAATTCCGAAGCAAGTGTGGAGAAATTGTTGCAATTTTTTCTTTCAATTTAGAATTTTAATTCAATTTACGTGATATCTCAAGCTGGACAACAAGTTTATCAGAAATAAGGTTTGACCTAAAATTTGCATTAATGTACGTGCGTTTACTTTGTCTTAAACCCACAAATGGCCAATTAATAAAAATTAAATTAAAATACTTCCTTTGCAGAAATACGAAATACCTAGATTTTCATGAATATTGTACCGTGGATGGCCGGGTATCAAACTCTTTCTTCAGCTTCTAACTTTTATTCAACTTGGTATCACTTTAAATACGGAACAGGAACAAACTAACTTCAAAATTACCGTCAACTTCACAAAGAATAACAATAACAGACGGAAAGCTCGCTTTTCCGACTCGCGGAGTTTAACCTCTTATGCACCCGGTGGTTGCTGTCACTTCACTCCCCCTGTCTGGTTCACGTCGTCGCTTATATAGTTTCCTCCAGGTAACCCAGACGGTTCTCGAAATCTCCAGCCCAGGTGCGAAATTTCTCGCTTGTCAGTGTCATATTTGACAGTAAATAGGGCGCAAATGGGGCTCCCATTTACTGAAATACCATTAATTTTGATCCCTCCATTTCAAACGTGAGTACCCCAGGCCATTTCCGTTACAGTATGTTCTTTGTTTTATATATAAAATACAACTATCCACGATTCTATCAATTCCACAGTAGCTCAGTACGTTGATTATTAAATGATAGATTAAATGCAAGTAAATTAGAAACAAAGCACAACGTCATCCTGATATGTAATCAAGTAGTTTTTCCATGTGCATGCAAATTTGTTACTCACTCGATAATATAAAGATGTTTGTTGTATATCTTCCTGAAAACAGTCAACGCTTCATTTTCTTGGTCGCCACCATTAGAGTATAAGTGAAAATCTCGGGCCAGTCGTTGTATAATCTTTAATTGAGATATCACAAAAGCCGTCACAACAACAAAATAAACTTGAGTAAGTGTATAATATATCACGCCGCCAAAAGTTGTACCGATACCTACAAAATCGTAGCAAATATTCTAAGAAAACACGTAAAAATACTTACTTAACAGGTATGTTTCCATAAAATATTTGTGTCGGTTCAGAGGAAACTGAATATGTGGTGCCATCATCGGCTTCATTTCAGTTTGATTAATATGTCGGTATTGAAAGTACGTTATAGTATTACAAACGCATACTGAGAATCCCGACGAGGATACACATACGCATACCAGAAGTATAATGTGTTTTACAATCTGCAAAAAAATTACAGGGTAAGTTTTTATACTACCTTCCAGGAGACTCTACACATGGAGATCCCTGCCGACAGCCCAGAGAATGTAGTGAAGAACCAAATCGACTTCATGGTGAATGATGTCATGGTCAAATGAACGAAAAAATATAGAAACACAATCACTGCAACGAAAACATATTCGGGCGCGGATATGTATCACAATCTTTACTGCGGTCATAAATCTAAGGTTGAAGAAACTAAACGAGAGAAATAATTCTAAAAGAAATAAATATCAGGAAACTGAAATATGAAAGAACAAATCAAAGAGGAACTGAATAGAAAAATCAGTTAAATATGACAAAGGACTGAAAAAGATAAAGAAGTGCAATAGAACGACCTTGGGTCGTGCATTATGTCACTAGCTAATGAAAAACTTACACACAGACAAGAAAATAACCAAGAATGTTTGACGGGGGACATGATGTAGAAGCGACGGGAATGCAAACACATCAATGGGACAAAGTATAGAGACACTCACAAGCACATATTACGTAAAATAAAAGCGACGATGGAGATATGGTTGCAAGAGAAGTGTAGGAAAATTGAAGCACTAACAGACAATCACGATAACTTGAATATGCACAAGAAAATAAAGAAATGACCGGATCATATAACAAAATAAGTATTAGAATTCAGGCCAAACGCTGATACATACATAGAATAAGTTAAAAAGATGCAAGAATATACAGGGTGACTCAAAATTCGCGTCATTCCTCTGGAAGTGTTGTCTGGCGCTGTTATAGGAGTACCGAAAAAATAGTAAAATAAATTAATTATTATTAAAAACTGAGAAATTTGCAAAAACTATATCAGAAATACGGCAGCAATGTTTTTCAAGGTAATCTGCCTAATTAACATTGCGCAAATACCTGTGGCTTAGTAATTATTTAAAACTCCGCTAACCATGGAATTATACAGACTGACAATAAGATAGACAAGGATAAACCGTAAACTCAACAAGATTTGTTGACGAAATGTCAACCTGTTCTCATAACCTCGAATATTGGTGCTTAAAAATAAACCATACAACACCAAACATTTGAATGGTTAACTCCAAACAAGCTAGTGCCTGTGTAATCTTCTTATTATCCACTCTTATCAAGCAGCTTCTCGTATTCAGTTAATTAA